TTTTGGCCAGAATGGGTAATTCGACTAAATTTATAAAGATTGATATATCCGAAGCTTACCTACACATGCCAGTGAAAGAAGAATACAGAGAATTGCTCACAATCAATACACACAAAGGTCTATATCGAGTAAATCGTCTACCATTCGGAATTGCAAGTGCACCTGCTATTTGGCAATCAGCAATGGAAAATATTCTACAAGGTATTGATGGTGTTGATGTTTTCTTTGACGATGTCAAAATAACAGCCCACAGTGAGGAAGAACATTTGAAAAGACTCCGTGCTGTATTAAATCGGTTCAAAGACAACGATTTACACATTAATGTTTCTAAATCTCAATTCCTTGTACCAGAGATTGACTTTCTTGGTTACCATGTCTCGTCAAAGGGAATAAGTAAAAGTAAACATATTACTGAAGCAATAAGAAACCTGAAGAGGCCAAGTAATGTGAAAGAAGTTAGACAAATCCTTGGGTTGATAAGTTACTATCGAAAGTTTATTCCAAACTTAAGTGAAAAGATGCAAGCTATTATTAATCTCACAAGAGCTAATGTACCTTTTAATTGGACTGAAGAATGTGAACGAGATTTTCAATTGGTGAAGGAGGAAATGATGTCAGAGAATATACTATGCCATTTTGACCCACACTTACCACTCATTCTAGCAACAGATGCTAGTCAATCTGGAATTTCGGCAATTCTTTCTCATGTGTTTCCGGATGGAAACGAAAGACCTGTTGCATTTGCTTCCAAAACACTATCACAAACACAAAAACAGTACAGTGTCATACAAAAAGAAGCCCTGGCAATTTATTTTGGAGTTAAACACTTTTACCAATACCTTTATGGACGTCATTTCACCCTAGTTACAGACCACAAACCCCTGGTATCAATATTTGGACCGAAAAATGGAATACCACTTATGGCCGCAACAAGACTACAACATTATGCTATATTCCTTCAGGCATTTTCATTTGACATAAAGTATAAATCAACCAAAGATAATGTTAATGCTGATGCACTTTCAAGACTACCTAAAAATGTTGAAGAAGCTGCTGTTATTGACTCAGCCGATGTTCATGAAATAGAACAAATCTATACTTTACCTGTCACAGCTGAAGAAATAGCAAAAAATACACAATCTGATCCAGATCTTAGAGATATTTATCAATCACTAATCAGAGGGGAGCCAATCTATCACCCGATGTCTTCTAACGAACAAGAATGGTCAATTCAGCTTGGATGCTTATTAAAAGGGAATCGTGTGGTGATTCCCAAACAACTTCGTCCAAGAATTTTGAAAGAACTTCATGAGGCTCATGTGGGTATAGTTCGCATGAAGGGACTAGCTCGTTCGTATGTTTGGTGGCCTAAAATTGATGCAGACATTGAGAATATGACCTTAAATTGTTTGGGATGTCAACGAGTACAACATGAAGCACCCAAAGCACCAGTTCACCACTGGGAATATCCTTCAAGGCCTATGCAAAGAGTTCATGTTGATTTTGCAGGACCATTTTATGGCCATTATTTTCTCCTAATTGTGGATGCCTACAGTAAATGGCCAGAGATTGTAACACTTACAACTATAAATTCACATAAAACCATTGAGGCTTTGCGGAAATTCTTTTGCTCTTTTGGAATCCCTGACATATTAGTGTCAGACAACGGAAGGCAATTTGTTTCGTTAGAGTTTGAAAAATTTCTTCAATCTAACGGAATTAGACACAAAAGATCAGCACCTTACCATCCTGCAACTAATGGCCAAGTAGAACGCTATGTACAAGACTTGAAAGATACTATCAGAGCCATGCACTTTGAGGAAGGCTCAATTGAGTTGAAATTACAGAGATATTTAATGGCCTATCGAAGAGCTCCACATAGTACTACAGGACAGTCTCCTTCACATCTCTTTATTGGACGTCAAATTCGATCAAGACTTGATTTATTGTATCCTGATTTGTCACAAAAAATGAACCAAAATTTTGACTCAAAATCGTATTCTGATAGGCAAAAATCATTTAAAGCTCAAGAACCTGTTGCTTACCGCCTATATGGGACCTGCAACAAATGGGGCTTTGGAAAGATCAATAGAAAAGAAGGACCAAGAAATTATGAAATATCCACAAGCAGTGGCACAATCAGACGTCATCAAGACCAAATTAGACGTTCAGGGCGAAACTTGTGTGAGTTTTCATTAAGGAATGAGCAAAATCAAGTATTCATACCAACAAATTTTGGAGGAGTCCATTTTGGAGGAGTCAGAGAGGAACCAACCGAAAACCACGCAACAAATGATCACAACATACCAACCGAAAACCACATAACAAATGATCACAACATACCAGATGTTCCAGAGGCCAACGATCACAACATATCAGATGTTCCAGAGGCCAACGATCACAACATATCAGATGTTCCAGTGGCACCAACTCCCACTATTACAGTGAGACGTTCAAAAAGGACACATAAACCCGTGGATAGACTCAATTTATGAAGCTCACTTAAGAAGGGGAAGTGTTACATCCTAAATGTCTATCTTTACTTATTGATTATTTATTTTATAACTATCACCAGCTGGTTATAATGTTTACTTCTTCACTTTGTTTTTAATTTGTGTTGAATAAAGTTGGTTAAAATTGTACTTTTACAAATACATTTATTATTAGTTCTAATTGCATACAGAACAGTCTGCATGCGAATCATTGCTGCTTCGAAAATTAACTCCTGGCATGTGTTTGATATGTCAATAGCTGATACTGTATCAGCAAGGGTTTCCTTGGAATATATTGCTACACCTCCAAGTTTATGTTCTTCTCTACTAAAGTGGGTAATTAAAGAGTAGCCGGTAATTTTGGTAGCTTCTAGTTCTGTTTTTTTCAGTCCGTGTTCAGTCAAGACTAGAATGTTTCGTTTTGTGTCATTGAGAATATGGTGTAGTCTGTCCGTCTTTGTAGCAAGTCCTCTAATATTTTGGTGCATTATTGCTACACAAGAATTATTTGGAGATTTGCTGATTTTTCTTTTGCTTTTTTCAGGCTGTTTGTTTCTAAAAAAGAGGTTATAGTGTGGGGCACTGTAGAGTGATTGAATTGTTGACTTGAGTTGGGTTCTTGCAGCTGTTCGTGTTTCTGTTCTCCTTGGTAAGAGAGGCAGTCCATCTCGGTCATGTTTAGTCGCTTGGTGTGTGACAGAGTATTCTTTTTATATAGGTCTATATTTTTTCCAAAAGAAGTCTTCAATGGTCTCTCTCGACTTAAGAAGCTTGGCGGAGATCGGGGGTTTTCCTGTGTTCTTTGGTTTAGTTGATTTGATTGGGGGAGATATAGTGCCCTTGAAAGTAGAGCAAACTCTTTTTGGGACTTTGGCGGCCTTGGGATGTTCAATGTTTTGATTTTGTGTTTGTTGTGGTTGACTTTGATGTTCTGGTGTTTCTTTCCTCAACTTGCTTTTTGCTATTTGCAAGGAAACACTGAAATGGGTTCTCTTAGTAGTTGCCAATTTGTTTTTATTATATGAAACTCGTCTTGGTGTATTAATTGGCTTGAAAGGAGTCTCCTTTTCTCAGTTATTAGGCGCTGGGAATCTTCTACTGTTATTTTATCTTCTAATTTCTTCATTTTTGAAGAAACTACAATATTTTACAATATTACCCATAAGTATAACATGGGATTATAAATATTTATTTTTTTGAATTTTCTCCGTAGCCAAAAACTGTACAAAAACACCTTAGTATACTAAATTGTTTGTTTTTTGAGCTCTTTAAAATGGTTTAGAGAAAAATTTGGAAATTTTGTGTTTTTAGGGTTAAAAATGAGAAAAACCAAGGTACTTTCCTGTTAAAGGGATCATTCATTATTATTGATTATTTAAGAATAAGAATAAGAATAGGAATATCTTTATTGTCATGAAAGTACATTCTTTAACAACTAGCAAAGCTAGAACAGAATAGATGACATTGTCAATGCAGTAAATTAAGTAGTTACACCTAGCAATAAGTATCTAGAGAACAAAATTAATAAAACCTCACAATAATAATTTTAAGAACATGAATAATCCCTTTACAAGTTGGTTTTCTAAAACTTATCATTTAAAAATGTGTCAACTGAACAATACATTTTTTAAATAAAAAAATCCTTTACTTTTTTCTAAAGCTGTTTTCCTTTATTATTTTCTTCAACTCACTGGGTAGTGTATTGTACAGTTTCCTCCCCATTAATTGTGGTGTATTTTCAAATAGTGTCAGACGGTGTCTTGGATACTGAAAATTTGCTTGAAATCTAGTTTCATGATGGTGCCTATGTTGAGTTTTACTTAAAATTACAAAATTATTTTTAACAAACATCAGACATCTGAAAATATATAGGCAGGGAACAGTTAATACACCAAATTCTTTGAAAAATTGTGTACATGACTTTCTCTTTGAGAAGGTCATGAGGTGGATGTACTTTTTTTTGGATCTTAAAAATATTTTGTGCATGAGATGACATTCCCCAGAACTCAAAAAAGACCATGATATATCATAAGCCTGGTTTTTGAGTCGATAACCTCTCGAAGAACAATCATTTGGAAACAAATAGAGTTTAATCTCTTGCATACTTTATTGACAAAAGTTTTCCAATTAAGATTAGAATCAATCAGTATCCCTAAAAAGTTAACTGAGCTGTGAATCACCATTAAGTTCCCTTGAAATATAAAATTGTCTTCATCTACATTTTTATTTTGTTTAGTTTGAAATTTTACCAAATGTGTTTTAGACTGAAACTAACCATTAGCTGAAAACCAATTTTGAAGTCCTCTAAGTGTATTCTGAATGGTAAAGCGCTTCATAAATTATATTTTATTTATTGGTACAGAACACTGGTTTTAATAGGACTCACAATAAAAACTCTAAACTAATATAAACACAACAAACAATAATAAATAAATATTATATCAGCTGATTTAAGACAGAATAATATGTCACATGTCCTTTTTTTCAAAAACTTCAATCTTTTTTCTTTTACTGTCTCAGTTGGCACCGGTTTCTTCTGAGAACTGCTCCGCTGTTAATTTGTACCAAATAGGAATTCGGGCTTTTGTGTTTCTTGTCAACTTTTCCTTTTACCCATTCTCGAGTTCCCTTTTGAACATAAACTTCTTCACCCTCCTTTAATTCTGGAAGTGGATGAGCCGATCTGTCATAATATGTTTTTTGTTTTTCTTGGGCTTGCTTCAAATTTAGAACTGTTTCATTGGTGGGGAAGAGTGGTCTCATGGAATCTTTAGTAGCAGGAAGAACAGTTTTTAGTAGTCTTCCCATTAGCATTTGAGCAGGTGCTCTGAGATTAGCTTTAGGAGTATTATTGTAATCGATTATGGCTAGGTTTGGATCTGCCTTGGTCTTTAGCGTTTTAGATAGCATTGACTTTAGAGTTTGTATAGCCCTCTCCACCATCCCGTTAGATTTTGGGTAGTACGGAGACAAAGTTATATGCTCAATTTTATACCGTTCTGTGAACGTGGCAAACTTGTGGCTATCGAACGGAGGGCCATTATCAGAGTGTAATTTCTTAGGCAGGCCATGAGATCTAAATATCTGTGTCAATCCTGCAGTTACTGAATCAGCAGTTGTTGTACTCATCTTCTTTACTTCCACAAATTTGGAATGATAGTCAATCACTAGCATGTGATTGGTATTGTTAATTTTGAAGAAATCAACTCCAATTTCTTCCCATGGGATTTCTGGCACTGGATATGGTTTAAGAGGTTCTTTTGGGTTTGATCTTTGGTATTCCTGGCATGTTGTGTATTGGTCTACTGTGTTTTTTATGTCTCTCATCATTCCTGGCCAGTACCAAGCCATCTGTGCTCTGTTTTGGCACGAATTAATTCCTTGGTGTGAAGCGTGTAGTTGCCTCAGCATGTCGGGTCGCAGCTCACTCGGAATAACAAGTCGGTCTTCCATATATATCAGATCATCGTATAAATGTAATTTATACCTTTTTCCCCAAAAAGGGTGAGCTTTGTCATCACAATTTTGTTTGTGTTTAGGCCACCCATGTTCTATGTAAAAACGTACTTGCTTTAGTGTGGCATCACTTTCTGTAGCATGTTTATGTCTATTTACTCTAGAAATGAGATCAGTTCTTGGCATGTTTTAAGCCCTAATATGGGAGAGGCATCGTCATTCATAATGTAGAATGTTGCTAAAAAGTTTGTTTTAGAACCCCCCAGTGTACAATTTAGAAGGCAAGTACCTACAACTTTGATGTTACCTACCTGGAGTCGTCATGTTAGCGCCAGGAGCTAATTGTTGATAAAGCTTGTAAGGAATAACATTGACGTCGGCGCCAGTATCGATCTTAAAAGATATGTCAACCCCACTTACGGTAATATTCTGACGCCAACTATGCTTGGAATATACAGTATTGACAACAATAGTTTCAATACTTATGTCCTGACTCTCACCGCTAATTCCCACTTCATTAAGGCGGTTTCACACTGGCATCCGCGGACGTCGTCCGCGGACGGATGCGAAAATAAATCGCTGCCCATGTTATCAGATGGGACCGTTCACACCGCCCATTGAAACGTAGCGTCCATCCGCGGATGCAGAAATTCGTCCGTGGACGATTTGGCGGAATCGCTCTGGGAGCAATTTTTCTAAAACGTCCGCGGACGATCACGCCCTCGCGCATGCGCAGACAGAGCACCAAACCACGTGTAGCTCTCAGCGAGGCATGTGTCACTCGCATCACAGTGTTTAGTAGTTTGTGTTTACAGTCATAGTGTTCATCTAGTTGTTGTTTTGTGTCCTCCCTTGTTGTTTGTTATGGCTGAATTAATTGAGGCTGTCCGTGCCTACCCAGTTATCTGGGATACAACTATAGAAATTTATAGAGATCAACAAGAGAAAGATAAAATTTGGTTGGAAATTGCGACTACACTCCAAAGATATTACAAAGAGAATAAAGTATCCTAACCAATAACCATGTATATTTATACGAATTACTGTACAGTAAATCATTATTACAATGATTTGTATTACTATGATTATTTGCATTATTACAATGATTCACCAAATCGCTGCCGCTTACTGTTAATCGGATGAACCCACTTTCTCCTTAATGAGTACAAAAGTACAACCTCGTCGTCACTATCATCACTACTTGAATCAAGCCACAGAACAGAAAATCCGGGTTGACACCATGGGACAGAAGGCTCAAACATTTTGCACACCTCCACTGAGTTGTAAGAGGAAGTATGTTTAATCTATGATTGTAGTAGGAATTGCCAACTTCCCTATGCGCATGCGCGAATGAGTGGACGCTTGAAACGTAGCTCGCAATGTGAAGGGGGTGCGTAGCATCCATCCGAATCATTTCATCCGTCCGCGGACGATAATTTCGCCAGTGTGAAACCGCCTTTAGGTTCAATGTCCTTGTTAGATTCAATGTTATGCATGCTTTGGGACTTACAGGCGTTTGCAAAATGATTAAATGTCATGCATTTTACACATTTCTTTCCCCAAGCAGGGCAATTTCTATAATTGTGAGTTTTTAAATATTTAGAACAGACTTTAACTTGTCATTTATTTGTAATGTTACTCGAATTTGGTAAAGTAGTGTTATGAATTTCAGATCCTACATTAGTTGTTTTGTTAGAATCAAGTTTCATTAGTTGCACTTGTATTTTACTCTCCTCCCTAGCCGTGCAGTAGTGAATTGCCTTATCAAGTTTCAAATCACTCGTCAACAACAACCTTTCTTTACACGCTTCATCTTAATTATCAATAGATCTCTTACAAGGCTTTCTTCCTGATCCCCGAACTGACATTTTTTTGCCTGATTTTTTAGACTATTTACAAATGACTGAACTGATTCGTCGGACTTTTGCCTGAGGTTAAAGAAAGTATACCTATTAATAACAGTGTTTACTTTAGGCTCAAAGTATTTGTCAAAACATTTAATTACAGTGTCCAAATTGTCTTTTTCCCCATCATCCAATTCAAAGGTGTTGAAAATGTCTAGGCAACCATCACCCAATAAACATAGCAGTAAAGCAACTTTGATTTTCCCCAACTTTTTTTCAGTTGCTTCCAGGTACAACAGAAATTGTTGCTTGAACTTAGTCCATTCATTTAATGTGTTGCTATTTAAATCAATAGCTGACGGAGGTTTTACAAGATCCATTATTCTATTTCAGTTTGTATATTACCTTTACCGCTGCCACCAATGATAAAGCTTCATAAATTATATTTTATTTATTGGTACAGAACACTGGTTTTAATAGAATCTTTGACTATTAATACAACAACATACCCCATATCCATACCCCGAACAACTCGCCTTTACTACTTCCTTCACCACTTCCTACGTCGCTGATTACATCAGCTGATTTAAGACAGAATAATATGTCACACTAGCTGTACCCGCGGGCTTTGCCCCGTTTAACTTCTTAATTTTCAAGATGAGCTCGTTCGCATGGCTCAATTACGTGTTGGTTGAAGTTCGTTCTCTACGCTCACTCACCTTTAGGTTGGAGCTAGTTCGCTGCGCTCACTTGCCTTCAGGTTAGCTCGTTCGCTACGCTAACTCGCCTCCAGGTTGAAGTTCGTTCGCTACGCTCACTCACCTTTTGATTGCAAATTAGCTGTTGTCATAAATTAAAAAAAAAACAATAGTGCTGCACCCTGTTGGTAATCCTTGTAACTTTAATGCTATTGAACATCATAGAACAGAACCAACTTGTTTAATTGAAACAGCTGATAAGATTCATTAATTCCTTTTAAATATGAAAAATCATAAGGTTAACATGGGAAACTCCAGAGCCACTGGGGCGGAGCCCGAGGGTCCGATCAGAATAAAAACAACTTAGTTTTCCTATTTAATACCTAAAGAATCGGTGTGCCAAATTTCAGCCTCCTAGGTAAATGGGAAGTGGGAGAATTAGTGATGAGTGAGTGAGTGAGTGTGTCAGTGAGGGCTTTGCCTTTTATAAGTATAGATTCTGAAAAACTAATTTTAAGTCATTAGTTGAATTTTCTTTTAATATTGCTGATGTATCATCTGCATAAAGTGTAAGAGTTGAGGATATATTTAAAGGTAAGTCATTTATATATAAAAGGAAAAGCAGAGGCCCTAGTATCGAGCCTTGTGGTACACCAAATTTAACCCTCTGCCATTTTGAGACGTGTTTAAAGCTGTTCTTAATTACTATCGTTCTTTGGTACCGACTGTCCAAAAATGATCTTATCCAGGACACCGCCGAGTCACTAAATCCATAATATTTCAGTTTTTCACAAAGAATATCATGCTCAATGCAATCAAATGCCTTGGATAGATCACAGAACACTCCCATAGTGCTATGTGATCCATCCAAAGCACCAACAACCTGGTCAACAAAATATGCAACAGCAGATATTGTACTTCGACCGGGACGAAAACCAAATTGTTCCTGACAATCCATTATTTTCAAAAAAAATTATTATCTGATTAAAAGCAATTTTTTAAAAAATTTTGGGAAAAGATGGCAAGATTGATATGGGACGATAATTGTCTAAAATTTCCTTGCTCCCTTTTTTATGCAATGGTTTAATTTCTGCAAATTTTAATTTATCGGGAAAATCCCCATTAAAGAATGATTGATTTATAATTTGACTGAGTGGTCTATGAATTGAATGGGCAGTGATTTTCATTAAATTCAAAGGTATTTCATCCCAACCTGCAAATTTTAGCGAATTTCCCTATAGGGAATAAGCTATTACCGTAGGTCTCATGGTAAGACTTAGTCCCGGGACCGATTTACTTTTTCATTTTGATGTCTCTAGAAGCCAAAAACACTGTCCGTTCAAATTCATATATATATATATATATATATTAAATTAAAACATATATAACAAAGTACCCTTTTCGTAATTATTTTATTTTTCATGACGACATGTTTCGGAACTAAGTCCATTGTCAAGTCATTTTTACCATAACCTCATTCTTTAAACTAACAAAATTATAAATATAATCATATGTAAAAATAATAAAATATGTTAACTAAATCTTAATACATTTTGGTATTAATTTTTTCATTATACTATATGAATGTTTTTCTTTCTTTCCTTAGTTTTTCAATTTTATCGTAGATAGGTTGGTTTAATTTTGGAATCATTGTGTTGAGTATATTGTTGGGGTCCTTTTTGTTGTGTATATAAATATTTAGCTCTTCTTTTACATTAAGTTTCTCACGTTCTTTTTCAAATTCTAAAATTGTTAGATTTTCTTTCATGTTTTTATAACTGTGGTCTGTGTTCATTATATGGTCGGTGAAGTTCGACTTCATTGATGTTTGATTTTTTGATTTCAATGCTTGTAGATGTTCCTTGAATCTTGTTTTAAAACTTCGAGATGTTTGACCTATATAATAATTGCTACAGTCACTACAGTTTATCTTATAGATTCCTGATTTGTTGTACTTTTCGTCTTCATTATCTTCTGTGTGTTTGATTTTTTTATTGATTAATTGGAATATATTGTTCTTAGTTCTGTAACTTACCCTTATATCCGAATTTTTAAATGTATTTCTTACTGCTTTAGTCATATATTTGTTATAAGGTATACATATATATTTCTTTTTCTCTTCATTTTCCGTTGTTTTATTTTGCTTTTGTATTTTGTTTTTCAATTTCTTCTTTATCATATTGTCTATCATTTTTGCCCTGTAGCCATTTTTCTCTGCTAAGTATTTAATGGTATTTTTCTCTTTTTTGAAATTTTCTTTATTCAAGGGAATATTAATAAGTCTGTGGATAAGTGAATGGAAAGTAGCGATTTTATGACTCCAAGGATGATTAGAATAGTATGGAATAATGATGTCTGTGGTCGTAGGTTTTCTAAATATGTTAAATGTATGTCTGTTGTTATTTTTTGAGATTGTAATATCTAGAAAATTTATTTGTTATTTTTGAATCTCTCC